AGAATTTTAATATAATTTCAATTATAACAGATTTTAAAATTCATCAGAATTTCAGCAGACTATTTACTAATAGTTTATTATAATTTTGATAGAATTTTAACAGTTACTAAAAAATTTCAGCAAGTCATCTTAATTGAAATTATCAAATAAAATTAATTTTTAAAAATAATATTATAATAATAACACAATTTTTTATTCATAAAAAATTATAATAATCAAAAATAAAAATTATTAAAAAATAAATATAATAATAAAAAATATTTTTTTACTTAGTTATTTTAATTATTTTAGTTATTTTATTATTTTATTTTTTTATCTAATTATTTTATTATTTTATCTTTTTTATCTAGTTAATTTATTCTTTTTATCTTTTTTATTTAGTCATTTTATTTTTTTACTCTTTTTATCTAGTTGTAGTCAATACAAAAAGTAATGAAGATTATGTTTTTCACCAAAATTTATTAAGATTACAAGCATATTAATATAGTAATATTTTGTAAAATCATATATCAAAGATGATGAATTTGGAAGTTATTCTAGTTAAATTGTTATAAAAAATTATTTATAAATATTTTTTATAAGCAAGTATAAAAAAATTTTTAGTTGATATTTATTAAATAAATATCTGTTAAAAAAGATTTAATTTTGATAAATTTCATAATAAAATATAATAAAATATAGTAAAAATATTATTTTTATTATAATTTATTATGAAATTTATTAAAATTAAGTCTTTTTTAACTAGTATATATTCAATAAATATTAACTAAATTTTTTTTAAAATTATAGATATATTTTTTGTGTTTTTAAATATATTTTTATAAAATTTTTTTTCACACTTGCTTATAAATAATATTTTTAAATAATTTTTTATATTATTTTAACTGAAATAATCCCCAGTCTGCCACCTTTAGCACATGATCTCACAAAATATTATTATGATAACACGCTTTGTAATCTTAAAAAATTTTGTTTCTGTTATTCTAAAGAATATAATGCCAAATATTCGTGAATTTTTAACAATTTCTTAACAATTTCTTATTAAGTTATAGGTGAAAAATATGTCTATTATTACTTTTCATGTTGACTGTATTTTATTTTTTTATTTTTTATTACTTTATTATTTTTTATCTTTTTAATAATTTATTTTATTTACTAAATAGTTATTGTTATCAAATTTTTATTTGCAAAAAATATATAAATAAAAATATTATTTGAGCTTTAATTTGACATGTTGTAAATTGAAAATAAAATTATTACTTAATAAAAATCTTTTATCAAATAATATTTGTCTCTTTTACTCTTAATTATACACTTTAAAACTTGCATACAAGTATTTTGAATCATATTGTGCTAAACAAAATGCTATTATTATAATTATTAATCTTGAATCATATTGTATTTAACAAAATATTATTATTGAATTTATTGAAATTTTGGTTAATAAATAAGTTTTTGATTTTTGTTATTTAATCTTGTTATTTATATTTTTCATTCATAAAAAAATAAAGTGAAAGAGTTTTTATTATTTATTATTACTAATTATATTGATTTAGCTCTGGAAAGCTTTATGCAAGTACAGAGAATTAATATTTCAAAATTTCTTTTGTTATATATTCTTCTTTTATTTTACTATATCTTCTTTTTCTTTTGATCTTTACTTTTATATAATTCTCCCACACTATTCTCTTTTCTTTGAACTATTACAATCTCAGTAGAAATTGACATAAAACTTAGATACCTCTTTTTTCTTTTTGTATTTAGTTTATTTGTTTAATCTCCAGGTTTAAGTTTGTAAGCTAATTTACCAATTAGTGAACAAACTTGTAACAATAGAAAAGAGAAAACAAATAATTATTATGGCAAGAAAATTTACAAGACATATAATGTTTGACGAACTACAGTGCAGGTCACTTAGTTACCACAATTGGCCAAATCTTTAAGACCTATCGCTATTAACTCAACAATCTGAACTTTTCCAGTCAAAAAAATACGTAATATTATAGAGTAGTCAATAAACTATTGATTTATGTATTTTCTAATTTTTCTGAATTATTTTAAGGTCTCTGATATAATTTGATGCTAATTTTTTTGTGTGGTAACTAAGTGACCCGCACTATATGTATTAACAGCTATTAGTGTTAGCATAATTTTTTAATACAAGTAAATACAATAAAAATATAAGCTTAAAATGACAAAATATTTTTTTCAAGTTATTGTACAAAAGTAAGTGTTCACAATATTTAGGGTGCCCTCTCTGTACATAGTCGAATTATGGGTTTAAACTGGAACCATGGTGTGTGGCAAAGCTACAAGTACCCAATCAAACACATTTACACTGAAAACAAAAATTAATGTTTCCTTTATATTTTCTTTAATACAATAACAAATATCTAAACATGAAAACATGCAAACACGAACGACACCGTCCGATTTATGACACCAAACAATCTCACGTGTGATATAGCATACGAACATTATCAGACATTCATCCCTAAGCTTGGCTTCTTTCCCAGTTTTTTGGATGTCGTAAGTAGTTTGAAAAGAGCTAGCTGTCTTTGATACTTTGTCAAGCCATCAAAGAATCGCATGAACGTTGTCTTTTTGATGTCAAAACAAATTATACCGAAAAATTTGCAGTCGGGTAAGGAGAATAATTTTATCTATACACGCATACATTAAATAAAACTTTAGCTTATTTGTTTTTCGTGATAGGTTTAGGTTTTCACAGATAGTTTAAGGATCTTTGCGGATTGCAAACTACGTACGTAATATCGCTTGTCCTGTAGAATTAAAAATGCGTTTTCGAATTTTCTTTTTTTAACCAAATTCATAAACCAATAATCGTATTTAGCATTAATAAGTCCATGTACCGATGATTTTTAATAGTACATGTATCAATTAAATATTTGACTATGCTGGGTAACATTAAATACATGCAATGATAACGATGGCAATACGTACGTAGTACCGGTATTGTATCGATCGGTGTGAGTTTTATTTCGTAACGGTAATCACAATAAATAACCCAGATAGAGTGCAATTCCGTTATTAAGTTTATTTGGAAACCAAGGTACATGTACAATGTTTGGATTGCTGAAGTTTATTGATTTTTTGAAGTTTAGGCTTTGTCAAGATGTCGATGGTTAGCGATGCTTTTCGCATAATAAATAATCAAAGGAATGACAAATAATTTTCTAATTCTTATTCTAATCTATTACTATGTAATAAAACAATTTTTTTATGTTCTCTCTTGAATAAATTAATTTTTAATAAAAATACGTTCTCTTCTTTATAAATATAATATATACTACACGGGGAAATAATATAAAAATACTTTTGCCAAAAAATTAAATAAACTATCTTCTTCGCCGAAGAAAGACTTGTTTTTTTTCATTTATGTTATTATTTTTGCATTTATGTTACTAATATTCTTCAAATTCCTCCAAAGAAATATCTTTTCGGTTGGCACCACATCTAAACAATGATCTAAATGAAAGCTTTTTGAAAATTTGTCGAATGAATTTGAATCTTCGTCTTCTCGGCTTTGGTACTGCATGCAATTTCTCGAATGTTCCTTGATTCTGCAGACCGAGTGGAATATCCAATAGTTTCGGCGGTTCAACTGAAGTTTTTGATACAGCGCTACTTTTCACTGAATCTTAAAGAAAAAGATTTATGATTAAAAAAGCATGCATAATAGTTACTTATTTGTTTTATTCAAAGATGTCTACTTACCAGCTTTTGATTGTGAAGAGTTGGAAGTCGTACTCGTATCTTCGTCATGTGGACTTACTATTGATGAGAAAACCTCATTTGCCCATTCTGAATCTTCAATATGACTGTTGCTTACTGTTCTCTGACTGTCGCTTACTGTTCTATGACTGTCGCTTACTGTTCTATGAGTGTCGATTACCGTTCTATGAACGTCGCTCACCATCGGTGCAAGTCTTCCAGGTTGAAATGACTTTTTTGGATATGATCTTTTTGACAGTGACCGACCTCTTTCTTTACTTTTTCTTGATTTGGCTGGTTCAACAGCTTGTGCGGGTTGTTCTGCTACTGTTGTTTCAGCAGATTGTGCTGCCACTGTTGTTTCAGCGGATTGTGTTGCCACTGTTGTTTCAGATTGTGCTGCCACCGTTGTTTCAGCAGATTGTGCTTCTACTGTTGGTTCATCGGATTGTGCTTCTACTGTTGGTTCATCGGATTGTGCTTCTACTTTTGGTTCCGCGAATTGTGCTGCCACTGTTTTTTCAGCGGACTGTAAAGGTTGTGCTGCTACTGTTGTTACTACGAGTTCAGCGTCTTGATTGTCTTTATTAGTAGAGGAAAGTTAATACGCAAATTCAAAATATTATCGATTAATTTATAATGAAAAGTAAATAAATACCTTTTTGTGTTGATTGCAATGTTGATTGTAGGGTCGTTGTCGATTCTGAATTAAATTTTTTAGCATAATCACTTTCTTTTCCTTTACATGCGATGGCATCTTCTCCTCGTGGAGAACTTGGGGATTCAATAGGTGTTGGCAAATTTTCGCTTTGTGGTGAAGATACTGTTGATTCACTACTAGCAGTTTCTTTAGCCAATAAATCTATATTGCAGAATTACACGTTAGTTAATGATTCTTTGAAAGATAGGAAATATTAGAAATAACAGAACGATTATTCTTACCATTTGAAGATTGTACTAAAAGTGGCGGCAAAGGTGGCAGCGGTGGCACATCACCTTCGCCTGGCTGCTTCCATTTAGAGCGGGGTCTGTTGGAAAGCGATTCATCGTCTATTTGATATAGTATATTAGCCAATGTAAGGGTATATGCGAAAATGTATGAGTGTACCGAGATGAAAACAAACCTTCAACTAAATCAGCTAAGTCAGCATCAAAATAAACAGTAGCCATACGATTGCTTATCCTGGTGGCAGTACTATTAATATTCGAAGTGCTTTTACGAGCACTTAATCGAGTTACAATGTTAGATACTGCCACATTTGGAAGACTTCGTCTTTGATATATGGTCGCAGGACGAGGTAGGCTTTTGGCGGGAACAAGATGTTTAAGCGCAAGATCTTGCTTACTGAATTCTGGTTCTTGATAATTGCATAGCATTACACGGTTTAGTACATAAAGTCATCAATTATCTATAATTAATCCAAAAGAAAAATATATAGTGTTTGTGTTTACCTTCGCTTGGCTCAGCATCGAAATAAACTGTTTCCGCTCGTCCTTTGATTTTGCCATTTTCTGAAATTGAGACTACAGAAAGCAATCGACTGTGATAGACGGCATGAGGATGTGTTGGTTTCTTCGGTGGTTTCGGGAATTTTCGTGAAGCTTCTTGTCGTTTGAGTTCCGCTTCTTCGAATTGAACAAATATGTCCGAATCTACATTTCCATTCTGTAGATCTTCATCCCATCCAGAGAAAATTTGGAAAACTTCTTCGGCAGTTGGACGTTTACGCGAGTCTTCGTCCCAACAACTTTTCATTAATTCGGCGAAAAGTGGGGGAGTTCCATCAACGATCTTTAGACGAAGACCATCACAAATGTTCATTGCTAAATTTGCGTCATGTGGAACATCACAGAAAGGTCTTTCTCCACCGCTCGTCGATTCCCACATCAAAACACCAAAACTGTATATATCCGATGCTTGTGTATAAACTTCACCTTCTAAAACTTCTGGTGCTACGTAAGGCATTACACCGCGAACTTCTCTTTTCCCATTCGATAAAGTTGGCGGATTTGTTTTAGTTGGTTGTCGTGTTCCTCGTATTCCATTTAACGCTGTTCCGTGTACTAACAAATTACCGGAATTCAAGTCACCATGAACTAATCCAACTTGGTGCAAGACTTTCAAGTCGGAAGCAATATATAATAAATTAACGATTCGGTTTTTCCATCGTAAATCTTGAAATCCTCGATTTAGATAGTTTTTTAATTCTCCCGTCGGTACCTGTGATACATACTGTACTACCATCATATATTGATTCGTCGCAGGATTTCTTGTAACGCCATGACATTGAAATGCTCGTAAATGCACTTTGATCGATTGAAGTATTAGTCTCGACTAAAGAATAAATATCGAATAAATAAAAGTAGTGCTAAAATAAGTACGAAAAATAAATAAGCGGAATTTACCTCATGAATTAATTCCTCATTATGTTCCGAATTAACCAGAGTCTTTAAAGCGACCACAATTAATCGTGATTCATGTTGCCATCGATGCTGAACCACAACTAAATTTGAGCCTCGACCAGCATTCCATGTAGCTTTATAGACAGTTCCATATCCGCCAGCACCAATTTTCTGTACTCCATCTAGACGACTATAATCGATCCATTGTAATAGTTCAGATCTGTTGCATGCTGTTAATTGCGTATGTCGTATGAATTCATCAATCTCTTTATCTCCACTTGTCCATGTTGGAAACATTGCTGCTAGTCGTCTAGCATTACACGGTTGACACCACCCATCGCCTGTTCTCGGATGATGGCATTCTAAACAAATACCAAATTTCGAACGACGTTTTCGCAACCTTGCTTCGTCCACTGAAGCAATTTCACTTTCAAATAACTCCATTTTTCTTGTATATTGTATGTGTTATTATATGCTAGAGGCTAGATAAAGAAAAAAGATTCAACATCCATTCGAGGAGGTAAAAGATTTATGATGTTTATTTAAATCAGCAGTTTATTTACCTTGTACTTGAATGATGTGAATAAAAAAACGATTGAGTAAAGAGAGTGAGTGTGAATGTATATGTGTTAGTTTTTTTGGTGGATGATATAATGTGTCACTGGACTGGCTTTTAAGTAGCAGTCATTAAGAAAGAATGTTATTATATTCTGCACACCAAAGCATATATGTCCCGCACACTTACTACGCACTATATATAGATATTAAATAGATATAGTGTCAGTGAATAGTTGGTGGGGGCGAAGATTAAATAAGTCGCGTCTTCGTTAATCTTATTGACACAGACGCAGTTTAAAGTAAGGAGTAACGACGGTGATGATTACTATATATGTTTTATAGCAATATATTTGATGTGGGAAAAGGTATATTTTATGGCAATATATTCGATGTGCGAAAAAGGAAAAGAATGAAAAAGAGAGAAGAGAGTGATAACTAGAAAACTCACATTTGATCGATTAATTTGCTAATGTTTACTTGGTTATATTTTAATTGATTTGACTGATTGAATGCTTATTCAATCAAATTAATTTTCTTGGAACATTTGGGTAACAAATTTCTTTATAATGAACACGGCCATCTTCTAACATCCAATAATTTGTTTTACAAAAGTAAGAGCACTCGACAATCATCACATTGCAGCTAATTGAAGAAAAGTGAAAATGCACCACTTAGAATGCAAATATCCCTTGAACAAAGATGATTGATTGGGAATCTAGGTTTAGAGTGTTCCTTCATTTATTTCTTATACGAGAGAAATAGAAAAGTATATCAGCTGCCATTCTGTGCGAAATGATGTGCATTGTTTGTTTACCAATTATAATTTAAACATAATGCACCAATCTAATTCGAGTTTAGAATGGTAACATTAATAAAAAGATTTCATTGCTTATTTGGAAACGTGTCGCATATTCCATCAGATATTAAATGCATAATTACCATAATACGATTATGCATGCCGATCTATGATGCATTCATTCACTCGGTTCTCGCGATAAAATTCACCATCTTATTTTTTAGGATGGGAGGAGGGAAGAAAAATCAGACATTAACTTAAAGGGCGCAGCAAGCAGGGGGTAAAAAGATGCATTGCAAGCGCGGGAATTTGAAGGTTGGGCATCAAAGATGTGCATTGTTATTCAAGATGAACGATTGTCTTTAAAGATTTCTCCATTCATAGATGCACATCAAACAAAATCCAAGTATGGACGCAAAGAATTTTCCTCTTTAATAATTTTTAACAGAAATGGTCCAAAACGAACATGAATTTAATTGGTTTTCCGTATCTTTGGCTTTCAAAACCCTGATGCAATATCAAGACAATGATTAATGTTATATTTACTTTCTGGACATTACGTATTATCCTATACACAATTAGAATATTCATAGATGTCAACCAAAGCATAAATTAATACATTGCATGATGTCGTTATTACTGCGAGAATGCTCATAGTAGATTGATTAACTTCATTAATGTGAACGCGTAACTACGTATCTCTGTTCACTCGATCTAAATATAGATGCGGCTAACCACATTTGGTTGCTGTGAATACATGCTTTTAAGATTTCATTGTTGAAAACTCAAAAATTAACGTTAAATGACGGCCTAATTTTAGCATCATTTAAAAGATAAATATACTAATTTATATAATGGATAAATACATGTACAAAAAATGACTCAACGGTAAATAAATGACATAGAGTACATGATAAAAAGAACAATATCATGCTAAACAAATAAGTACAATTTCTTATTTGGATGAACCAGTTTTAGGTGCTGGATTGGTCTTTGACATGTCAGCGAGCCACGATGGCGGCGAGATGCCAGTTTGATCTTGGATAGTTGAAAGCAGTGGAGGGAGACTCTGAAATAATAGCAAATTATATAAATTGAAGGTATGCATAATGAGTAGAAACATACTCTCTAAATTTACATACTTGTATAAGATTAGCTACTGGATTATTAGCGGTACCCTGACCATCAGTATTCCATACAGTTATTTGTGGATTCAACCCTTTTACTGCTGCCGCATTCTCTTTAGCTAATTGTGTAAAGAGTCCGCGTTCAATCATAATATACTGAATCGCCGAAGCTGTATCTTCACCAAAAGCCGACATAAGATTCTCCACACCATTAGCTTGAGCATTATATAAAGCAAAAAGACCTTCAGCCTCCTTTTGCTTCTTATACAATTCTGCTTCAGCTTCTTTTTGTTTTGTGTAAAGTGCCGCATCAGCTATAGCATTCGAAGCTTCTTTCTCCGCTTGAGCTTTCGCTACTAACGCTACACGTAACCGTTCCGTCTCGGACGCCATACGACGTTTTTCGACTTCTGCCTGAAGTTCTGACTGACGTATTTTCGCAGCTTTATCAGCTTCAATAGCAGCAATTTTGGTTTGCCGTTCAAACACTGATTTCTTTGTGGCTAAATTCATCTCAGTTTCAGCTATTGCAACATTCTGCTCATTTTCAAGAATCTTTGTTTCTGCTTCAATTTGTGCATTTTCACGACGTGTTTTGCCTTCTCGTTCTTTGGCACCCACGTTACCTCGATAACGTGCTTCGGCTACATCGACTTTTCCTTGATTTACGGCACCTTCATGAGTTTTCATACGCTGTGAATTTTGATTTGTTGAAAATTTAAGGGTTTATTAGAGAATTTGAAAATGAACTGCAATAGAGAATTTGCAAATAAAGAGAATTTCTTTTGTTACAATATATTTGAAGTATTCAGAGCCGGGAGTATCTTGCAACTGTTTAACATTACAGTTGTAAATATAAAGGCCAAATTGGTCGAGTTCAGCTTGAACATTTTTAATTACTAGATAGATAAAGATGTTGAAGATTAGAAATCAAAACTTGATTCATTAGTGGTTTCAAACGATCTTTATACACACCATGTTCTTTAAATTGCTTTCTCTCCAAGAAAATTTCTTCCATAGTCATTCCAGCCGCAATAACTCTTGTTTCACCCTGTTTTTCAAAATAAATTCAATTATTTCTTGCAAAAAAAAGTCGCGTTGATATCGTCTTCATCAAACCAATAGATACTTACTGCAATAATACCTCGTATGATTACGACAACTTGATCGGATTTCGCGTTTTTGGTAGCCTAGATGCGCATTAAATTTAATTTCATCAATTGATTTTCCATGGTCAAATCGTTTGAATTTTTTTATAATTACCAATAATCTCGCATATCGAATTAGACTTTCTTCGTCGTCTTTCGGCCCGATAGTGAACACTGCTGGTAAATTGAATTCCAGTTTTTCAGCGCTCATCGCTTGAAGATCCAGCGTATAATTGACCGGGGTGATATCAAAGAACTCGTATCGTTGACCAGGATATACCCATCCCTTTTTGCTTATTTTGAGATCTAATTATAAAGGAAGAATAATGTTTTGTAGGTTGATTTTAATGGATATTGATTAGAAAGAAAAATTTAAATCACACGAAACTTACCTTTAATAAAAGCTCCTGTGGTCACCATATATTGATTCGGATCACTACATTAAATAATCGAGATATTAGTATAATTAATGGCAAATGCGTGACGGCAATATAGCGATAGATAAAAATCAAGTTTAATACCATATTCTGAAAACTGCCATTTTTATTCGAAGAATGATTTGTCAAAAGCTGCGTTTATTAGAAAAAGCTTGGTTTAAACAATATTGAATTATTATTATTTCGAATGAAAGCGAGAAAAAAGGTGCGTAATAGCAAGAAAAAAAGTTGGTACAATGACAAAGAAAAAACGAGTGTCTTTTGAACATCGATATATATATACATATCGATCTGTCCAAACTGTTCGTAAATCGAATTCTTAATCGGTCATTGTCTTACCCTTTTTGAATTTGTTTGATCACATGTGTGAGCATATCGTTTTCTAAATGTTCTTACAATGGTTGTTGTTCATACTTTTCAGAAAAACTCGTATTTTCCGCATTTCGGCGCGTGTGTTTAATTAAAAAATTATAATTGTTCACTTCTATCGCTATGGTGCAAACAGCTTAGTCGGGGCATTGAAAATTTTGCAGATCATTACTTATAAAATTGAATATGATTTGTCAGATTTATTATAAGTGTGATTAATTTTTTAAATTAATGCTGAAATTTTTTAAAAATGCATTATTGTATAAACTTTAAATGTAAAAAAAATAAGTCATTTAATAATTTTTGATAAGTACTATCAAGCAACGAAATTTATTTTAAAGTTCATATGAAATCCTTGCATTTAAAAATAGTCAAAATATTGGATGTCTTTAAGCTGTTCGCAACATAACTTTCTTTACAAGATATTGAAATCTATAGAAATTCCCTTTTAGGTAATGAAAATGAAGAGTTTGTTTTAAAACATAAATATAATGACGTATTAATAAATATAAAAATATCACACGAATATGTAATTTACTTTAACGTATTATTCATAGGCATTTTGGCGCGTACATTTAAAAGTTTTATTTATCAATCGTACACTTCTAGTTTTCTTATTTAAAAATCTATAGAAATTCCCTTTTCTGTAATGAAATAAAGAGTTTTGATCCGGAATCGGGTTAGAAGCTGGCACTGTTGTCCGGTTTTTCCCATGCCCTGCTTTAGTATGATGGTGATGCTTCTGTTTCTTTTTATCGTGATGCTCCGTTTTAGTATGACGATGATGTTTCTGCTTCTTTTTATTGTGATAATTCTCAGTAGGCTCTTCTCCATGCTTTGCTTTAGTATGATGATGATGTTTCTTTTTTCCTTTTTTAATTGTAAGTTTATGATGATGCGCTTTATGCTCATGATTTTGAGCAGCTCCAGGTGAAATAACTTTTGTAACTGACGATGTTGATTCAACTGGCGCAGCAGCTGCCAAAGAAGCGGTTGCGAGCAAGAAAAGAGCAGAGATCAAAGAAATCTTCATTTTTATTGGCTTTAAAAGATAACATGACTGATTTATTGATTGAAAAGGTGAAGAGTGAAAGAGGAAGGGAAAGACTTGCAATATTTGAGGAAAAAAAAGACTGTCGAGATAAATTTGGTCTTTTTCGTTCAATGCGCCTCTTATATCTGTTTTCCAATGTCAAGAGACGAAAGATAAACAACTTGTGCAAGATACTATATTAAGTGCCGTAATTAATTTCGTACAGTGGACACTTTTTCCCAATAATATTTTGAATTGGTCGTTACAACGATGATATTTCTTTTTTCATCTATATCAGATACATAAAATGCTCATTTCTTGGCGATCCATGAATGCATCCAGTTTAACCGATTCGAGTAACTTGACACGCATACGATTTTTATACATGAGGTAAAAAGTACGTATTGAGGACAACACGTATCGGTATATAGCATTTTATCGCAAAAAAGGTGTAGTAGTTGGTGTGGGAAACAATCAATATAAATATAGCCATTATACATGTATATATTAACAGAAATCACGAGTACATGTGTTATTTTTTTTTTATTTTAACTCTAAATTCGAGCGATGTTTTATTATCTTTCTTGTATCAAGAGTTTCTTTATAGTCCAGCAAGTCAGAAAGTAAGTTTACAACTCCCTCTCGATATATCACCTAAAATGATCATTGTCAGAGCTCGATTTAACGACTTGCGATTTAATGAAAGCGCGAGTTAGCGACTCTTGTTCCCACTATCACTATATTGCAGTCGCGCTCAATTATTCTCTTGATTTAGATATCTTGAAATTTGAATCATTTTATTCAACAAAACACAGGAAACAAATTATACAGTCACCGGTGAAAGTAATGGCGGATGGTCTTTTTAACATCACGCAAAATGCCACATAAGAAAATCGAAATTTTTTTCGGAATATAAAAGCCAAAAAATAGGCCAGTAAACTTTATTAAAGGCTAATACTTGGTATGCCCTCCTTCCGCCTCGATGCATACTACAATTCGATTTTGCATGCTATTGATGTTACTAATACATCATTTTCTAGATTGTTCCATTCCTCCTTAATTACATCCAAAAATACATCCCGAGAAATTAGCTCCTTGGACGCCACCATACTCTTAACCTTCCTTTCACGGCCCAAAAATTTTGAATAGGGTTAAGGTCTGGACTGCAATAAGTCCAAGCAAGAACGCGCCGCAGAAGACGAGCTGCCAAGTCATTTTGCACGTCATTGGACGTGTGCTTTGGGTCATTATCTTGTTGAAAGGCCCAGCGATGACCGTGCATCGCATCCGCATTGTCATACAAGTGATCCAGATTTTGAGTGCACTTAAAATGGATATTTTACCATGGTGCAATGCGAGAAGGGTATTACGAAACATCTGAATTGTTGTTTCATCAGAAAAACAACTTTTCGCCGTGTGATCACGAGCCCTTGTTGGGTCAAAAGAGGAACTCTCCGAGGACGAACAACAAAATCAAGGTTATCAACTTCACGACGGATAGTACGTTCACTCAAGTTCTGGGTCCTTTTTTTCAAGTCTGGTCTTCAGCTCAGCCGCTGTAGTAAAATGATCGTGTTTCATACTTATTGCAATTTGGCGGCGTTTTCGAGGGGTCAGTTTTCTTGGACGACCAGAACGAGAACCAACTGAAATTTTGCCAGTTTTTCGCAATGAACTGACATACCGCTCACATGAGCGTAAAGGAATGCCAGTTCGTTGCGAAATTTCCTTGGCATTGCGGATATTTTGTCTCCATAACGAGTTAACATCATTTTGGACGGCGAAATTGTAACAATAACAATAAATGAAGATCGATTTTTATTGTTGGTTTTTTAAAAGTAACATTCCATCGCCCAATTACCATTCGGGCAAATGTGAATGTTGCTGCACTCAAAAAAAAACCAGTTGTATTCACACCGTCATTACTTTAGCCGATGACTGTATTGTTTAATTATTTGGTTTGTTTGACAGCAGCACTATTAATGATGGGTGCAAGAAAACCACCTCCCTCTTTCCTTTTGCAATTTGAGAGAAAGTATCTTCTGTGTAAATATTAACGTTAGATGTGCAATGACATAATGTCGATAAATTTTTTACCACGATTTTAGCTGTTAAATCATAAGCTTGATTAAATCAATGATATATATACGTATCAGTATATCGATACGATATAAATAAATACATTGGTTGCAGCTACGTTCTCACAGTTACGTTCTCACAGTGACTTTTACCAAAATGACTGATTCCCTTGTTCAAAAATTAACTTTGCCAACTGGAAAAACCATTGAAGGTTTTTAAATCCTTGTTCGTCTCATATTTATTGGTTTTATCGAAAATTCTGTTAACATAAATTCTCAAATAAACAGTGAACACTGGACTATTTATCAACAATGAATTTGTTGAATCAGTTGAAGGCAAAAGATTCGAAACGATCAATCCTGCGACTGAAAAGGTGATTTGTAAGGTTGCTGAAGCGACCGCCAAAGATATCGATCGTGCAGTCGACGCTGCCACGGAAGCATTTGAAAAAGTGTGGCGACATTTTGACGGCAAAGAACGTGGTCGATTATTGTACGAGTTGGCCGAATTAATCGAAAGTAATAAAGAAGAATTGGCCGAATTTGAAGCTTTAGATAATGGGAAAGCCTATACAATTGCCTTATCTCAAGATCTTGCTGCTTGTATCGATACAATTCGTTATTATGCTGGTTGGGCTGATAAAATTCATGGGAAGGTAAATAGTAAAGAATTTAACAAAAGCAAAATAGCTTGATAAATCTGAATACTTTATTCTTTTGTATTAATAAAGGTTATTGAGACGAGTCATGACAGATTTTGTTACACTCGTCATGAGCCAATCGGTGTTGTAGGTCAAATCATTCCATGGAATTACCCTCTCGTAATGTTGGCATGGAAATTAGGTCCTGCTTTAGCATGTGGAAACACAGTCGTCTTGAAGCCAGCAGAACAGACACCACTAAGCGCTTTGAAGGTTGCATCTTTAATTAAAATAGCCGGTTTTCCGCCCGGCGTTATTAACATCGTTCCAGGATTCGGTTCGACTGCTGGCGCTGCCATTGCTAGACATATGAAAATTGGCAAAGTCGCTTTTACTGGTATCTATCATGTTACTTATTTTTAAATAATTTCAAATACATTAGGAAATACTTATTAATTATATATAAAAAGGGTCGACTGCGACTGGGAGAAGGATCCTTAAAGATGCAGCTGAAACCAACCTAAAAAAAGTTACATTAGAACTAGGTGGAAAATCACCAAATATCATCCTCGAAGACGCTGATCTTGACCAAGCCGTTAAATGGGCATATTACGGGATCTATACGAATCACGGTCAATGCTGCTGTGCTGGGTCACGAGTCTATGTTCAAGATTCAATTTATGACAAGTTTGTGCAGAAATATAAAGAATTCGCTCAATCAATGAAGATTGGTGATCCTTTTAATCATGATACTTTCCAAGGACCACAAATATCTAAGACTCAATTTGATAGGTATTTTGAATCAATCCATTTGATTTAATTCGATTTCGATGAGTTGTTTACCGCGCATTTATTGTAATTTCATAGGATTATGTCTTATATCGAAACTGGAAAGAAAGAAGGAGCGACTTGTTTTATGGGTGGCAAAAGGCATGGTGATCAAGGCTACTATATTGAACAGACAATTTTCACTGATGTGGTATGTAAAAAATACACAATAATCAATTTCTCGATTTTTAATTTACATTCTCAATAACGAAACGATACATGTAATAGAATGAAAATATGAAAATCATGCAAGAAGAAATCTTTGGACCAGTCGTCGCAATTGCCAAATTTAAAACAGTTGAAGAAGCAATAGAAAAAGGAAATCTGACTAGATATGGTTTGGCGGCTGCTATCTTTACGAAAGATGTTACACGTGCATTCAAATTATCGAACGCGCTTAAAGCTGGAACTGTTTGGGGTACTTCATAAATTCTTTTTCTTTTATGTTTTATTGAATACTAAATACCTTTAAATTTTATAATTAGTTAACTGTTATAATATTGTCGACAGTAATACGTAAGTAAATTCAATTCACTTTTATCGTTATTGCTTTTTACATTACTAATAATATACCTTATGCACATTTTTTCGCATTTAGGCCATTTGGTGGATATAAAGAATCGGGACACGGCCGTGAAAATGGCAAGTACGCGTTGGAAAATTACACCGAGGTTAAAACTGTCCAAGTTAATCTCGACGTTTAGCATATCAATATATTGTATTAAAGTTGAGATAATATCGATATTGTCGAGAATAGTCTTAAAATACTTAAACTGAATGAATCTCAAAGATTATTAAATTGACCTATCCATAATATATCCTTTAATTAGTGTATAGTGCACTGTATTGATTTGATTGAGGAATCGACAAATGTATCAAATGTATGGAGCATAGTTGTATATGTGTTAATAAAATGGCAGAAACGAAATTTCTCGGCATAAAGTGAAGGAAGCTGCTATGATAGTATGGTTACACAATATAAAATTTAGTATCAGGTTATTGTTATCGTTACATATACATAATTTCTGGTCTAATGTTATTTATTATATTGATAAATATGGCAAGTGACAACAATTTTTGCAAATGTATGAATAAACGAAAAGGACAACACGAAAATAAAATACATGTATACTGTATTGTCAGTCACATGTAACAATGCGATAGGATTAAGAACATAACGATAAAGGAGTTGATAAGCAATAGAAATCGCTGTGCTTTAACTCAAAACACAGTTGTCAATACTTTCAGAAACATGTTTGTAGACTAAAAAGATATCGATATAATTGTTATTGTATAAAATAATCACCATTTTCTTTTTTCGATATTGTCGAATCTGTAGTTTTTCTTGCAAGCCACTCTTTCTTCATTCTGATTTCATGTGCTATATTAAAATCGAAATCTGTTTTTGCACCACCAAAGAATGAATTAAAGAAACACTTGTTTCGATAATTACCGAAATTTTGATCAATGAATCAATGCATTGATAATTTTCGTATATTTAATTAACTTGTAATGAAATTTTGGAAGAGAATTATGACAACCAATCACAGGAAGATGAGGAAAATGCAATTACATGTAATATGATGAGTAATAGCAATAAACATCGTAGTTGGGTTTCGAAGTTTCAGTTGCTTCACGAGATATTATGCGAAACGTAAATGAATCTCTTAAATGCGTTGTAGTGTTACCAAAGTAACGTTAAATCCTTTAATTCCATAATTTATGCGCTTAATTTGTCCATGAAAATCCAACCTTAAATAGTTCACACTAGAATTTCCTAATTCCGTAAATTTCCTTTCGATTTATTCCTAAATTTATTCCTAAATAAAAACCCTTTTTTAGATAATTAACCCGAATCACAATACGAAAATAAAGTATTTCGTTGCGAGACAATACCTTTTTCCTTAGTCATAAATCTCCCTTCTGATTCTTTAATAGTATTGAACGTCTCGACGTGTGATTATCTAAAGGACAAACGATTATCTGTAGATAATAGTCCTTTAAGAAAAATAGATTAGAAATCGAACGATAAATACTTGATTGTTGATAATAAGCCCCAAAGAAACAGATGTAAAATACTAACCTTAGAATTAACGTAATAATATATTAAGATAATTATAATATTATAAGCTTGTTTACTAATTATTAAATTAGCTTATAAACTTGGAACTAAATTGGAAAAGAATATTAAATAATAAATAAAATATTAAAAGAAAAAAGGAGTATGCTAATTTTTATAAAAATTATAATAATTTAAAGATATAATAATATGATGAGAAGATTATAAAAGAGTAAAAATTAAAAAAGAAAAGTAAAAATATAAAATAATAAAGAAAAATAAATAATAAAGGAGACTTTGAGATACTAATTCTTTGTACTTATATAAAACTTTCCAGAACTAAGACAATACAATTAATAGTAATAATAACAAAAACTCTTTTATTTTGTTCTTCTCACAAATAAAAAATATTAAAATAATAAAATAACAAAAATTAAAATACTTAATATTCAAAATTAATAATAGTAATTTGTTTAGTACAATACAATATAAACTTATTAGCATTTTATTTAGCACAATATAATTCAAAGCTACTTGTATATAAGCTTTGATGAGTATAATTGAAAGTGAGAAAAATAAATATTATTTGGAAGAAGATTTTTGTTAAAAGAAAATTTTATTTTTATTTGCAATATATTGAGTTAAGATTCAGATAGCATATTTATTTATATATTTTTTGAAAATATATAATGATTATCTAAAGATAAATAATTAATTGAAAAAATAAATAAAAATAAAATAAAAATAAAATAAAAGATAAAATAACTAAAAGATAAAGTAAAAAGTAAAATAACTAAAAGATAAAATAACTAAAAAATAAAATAAAAAGTGAAATAACTAAAAGATAAAATAATTATAAAAGATAAAATAATTATAAAAGATAAAATAATAGATAAAATAATAATAAAGATAAAATAAAAGATAAAATAGTGAGTAAAATAATAATAAAGATAAAATAAAAAGTAAAATAATATATAAAATATAAGGTAAAAAGTAACATAATAAAAGATAAAAAGATAAAATAAAAGATAAATAATATAAAATAAAAAGTAAAATAATAAAAAGTAAAAAAATATAAAAATAAAACAAGAGTAAAATAATAGTTAAAATAATATTTAATGAGTTATTTTTATTATTATTTATATTTTTAAGATTTTCTGTTTTTCTGTTATTTTTGAAAGTTATAATTTTTCTTGAATTTATAAAATTATTGTTATTATTGTAATAATAACATAAATTATTAGCTAATAAATAATACTACAATAAAATTATTTATTAAATATAATTTGTATAATATTATTAAGATAGTATTAATATATTAAAATAATTTTGCTTTCTTATTTACTAAATAAAAATGCATAAAATCAAAATTATAATAATAGTTATTTTATTAATAAAAATAATAAAATAATAAAAATATCAAAAATTATATATTTTCAAAAGTAATATATTTTCAAAGAGATTTTATTAAGTTATTAGTTGGATTAATTGCTATAATTTACTTTTTTATAATTACAAAAAAATTATATTTATATTTAATTTATATATTTAAATATTATATTAATAATTACTAATAATAAATATAATAACAATAATAATTATAATAATTATAATAATTATAATAATTATAAAAATTACAAAAATTACAAAAAAATATTAAACAAGTATTTTATTTCTTTTTTAACTTAATATTATAATTATAAATAGTTAGTTTTTTCAATTTTATATCATTATTAATTATATAAAATTTTTAATTTTAATTATATAAAAAATTATAAAGTTTTATAAATCTATTTTTTATATTTATTTTAATTATTTTAATATTAATTAATATAGATTTATAGATATTTAACTTCAAAATTACATATTATACTAAATTAAATTTATCAAAATTGTTATCAAGTGTATAATAGCTAATATTATAGTTATATTTAATATTTATATTATATAAATATTGTAATAGTTATTAATATTTAATATTATTACTTTTTTATATATTCAAAAAGTATAAAATCAACAATTTTAATATATTTCTCAAATATGATTACTTTATATTGAATAACTATACAAGAGATTATTATTATATCTAAATTAAAAAATATATTTATAATATATTAAAAATATTAGTAAAATTCAGATATTGTTATTGTTTTGATGAAACTTTCAAAATACTTAAAGATATTTATAAAATTTAAGAAATATTTAAAGAAAAACTTTTAATGTCTTAATGACAATTCAAAGTATTAATAATACTTTATGACTATTAGATTAAATGTGAATAAGTACTAAAAGTACTAATGATAAAACCACTTAAAGATTGGTAATAATTGTGTTCTTTTAATACAATAACTAGACTGCTAAAAAGAGTTCTTAAAATCTCAATATCAAATATAATATACATACATATTAAAATGTCTTTAAATCTTTGAAGTCAAATATAAGATATAATATTTGTATTGTTACATTTATTTTCAATGATTCCATAATTAATGAATCTTTTAAAAATAGTAGTAAATATGAAAATTCTCAAAAATAGTAACAAAACAACAAATTAATAAAAATAGTATATACATTTAATAATCATATAATAACTATTATTTACTTTTTCTACCTTTATTTTTTATCTTTTCTACCTTTTATATCTTATTTAACTACCTTTTCTATCTTTTATACTTTTATTTTCTACTTTTTCTACTTTTTCTACCTTTATTTTCTATCTTTTCTACTTTTTTTACCTTTATTTTCTACCTTTTCTACTTTTTCTACCTTTATTTTCTATCTCTTCTATCTTTTCTATCCTATTTATCTATCTTTTCTATCTTTTCTACTCTAATTATCTACCTATTCTACCTTATTTATCTACCTTTTCTACCTTTTATCTATCTTTTCTTCCTTTGATATTTACCTTTTCTACCTTTTCTATCTTCAATATTTACCTTTTCTACCTTTACTACTCTTATTTTCTATCTTTATTACTCTTATTTTCTATTTTTTCTACCTTTTTCTATTTATCTTTTTATATTTTTATAACATAGATAAAATTAAAATATATTGACAAATTTTGTATAAATAGGAGTACTCTCTCATGTATCAATCTTATATTTCAATGCTTAAACAAATTAATAAATTTTAATCTTGCTACAATAAGTTAATGACTGCTTTTTTGTTATAAAATTAATATTTATCCTTGTATCTTCTTCTGTCGAAACAAGTTACCTGGCAAAAATAATTTGTTGATTGAACTTCAAATCTTGTAATTCAAGTTACTTTTCATAAATCTTGAGTAAAATCAAGAAACTGAATATTGATTTGTGTAAAATTAAACTTCTGATTATTACTTTTGTCTTTGAATTTGGAAAAGATAGTTAAGTATTTTTGGATAAGTATATTGATTTGCTATAGCATTATTTTTGGTATAGTTGTGCATTATAACTCTAAATAAATAATATTGATTTGTATAATTGTGCACTATAACTTTAAATAAGTGATATTAATTTGTATATTTGTGCACTACAACTTTAAATAAGTGATATTAATTTGTATAGTTGTGCACTATAACTCTAAATAAATAATATTAATTTGTATAGTTGCATATTACAACTCTAAATAAATGATATTTCTTTTAGTTATTCATTTTTTTTGATA